TGAAGCAAGGAACTTACTAGGTGAAGCAAGGAACTTACTAGGTGAAGCAAGGAACTTACTAGGTGTACTGAAGCAAGGAACTTACTAGGTGTACTGAAGCAAGGAACTTACTAGGTGAAGCAAGGAACTTACTAGGTGAAGCAAGGAACTTACTAGGTGAAGCAAGGAACTTACTAGGTGAAGCAAGGAACTAACTAGGTGAAGCAAGGAACTTACTAGGTGAAGCAAGGAACTTACTAGGTGAAGCAAGGAACTTACTAGGTGAAGCAAGGAACTTACTAGGTGAAGCAAGGAACTTACTAGGTAAAGCAAGGAACTTACTAGGTGAAGCAAGGAACTTACTAGGTGAAGCAAGGAACTTACTAGGTGTACTGAAGCAAGGAACTTACTAGGTGAAGCAAGGAACTTACTAGGTGAAGCAAGGAACTTACTAGGTGAAGCAAGGAACTAACTAGGTGAAGCAAGGAACTTACTAGGTGAAGCAAGGAACTTACTGGGTGAAGCAAGGAACTTACTGGGTGAAGCAAGGAACTTACTAGGTGAAGCAAGGAACTTACTAGGTGAAGCAAGGAACTTACTAGATGAAGCAAGGAACTTACTAGATGAAGCAAGGAACTTACTAGATGAAGCAAGGAACTAACTAGGTGAAGCAAGGAACTTACTAGGTGAAGTAAGGAACTTACTAGATGAAGCAAGGAACTTACTAGGTGTACTGAAGCAAGGAACTTACTAGGTGAAGCAAGGAACTTACTAGGTGAAGCAAGGAACTTACTAGGTGAAGCAAGGAACTTACTAGGTGAAGCAAGGAACTTACTAGGTGAAGCAAGGAACTTACTAGGTGAAGCAAGGAACTTACTAGGTGAAGCAAGGAACTTACTAGGTGAAGCAAGGAACTAACTAGGTGAAGCAAGGAACTTACTAGGTGAAGCAAGGAACTTACTGGGTGAAGCAAGGAACTTACTGGGTGAAGCAAGGAACTTACTAGGTGAAGCAAGGAACTTACTAGGTGAAGTAAGGAACTTACTAGGTGTACTGAAGCAAGGAACTTACTAGATGAAGCAAGGAACTTACTAGGTGAAGCAAGGAACTTACTAGGTGAAGCAAGGAACTTACTAGGTGAAGCAAGGAACTAACTAGGTGAAGCAAGGAACTAACTAGATAAAGCAAGGAACTAACTAGGTGAAGCAAGAAACTTACTGGGTGAAGCAAGGAACTTACTGGGTGAAGCAAGGAACTTACTAGGTGAAGCAAGGAACTAACTAGATGAAGCAAGGAACTAACTAGGTGAAGCAAGGAACTTACTAGGTGAAGTAAGGAACTTACTAGATGAAGCAAGGAACTTACTAGGTGTACTGAAGCAAGGAACTTATTAGGTGTACTGAAGCAAGGAACTTACTAGGTGAAGCAAGGAACTTACTAGGTGAAGCAAGGAACTTACTAGGTGAAGCAAGGAACTTACTAGGTGAAGCAAGGAACTAACTAGGTGAAGCAAGGAACTTACTAGGTGAAGCAAGGAACTTACTGGGTGAAGCAAGGAACTTACTGGGTGAAGCAAGGAACTTACTAGGTGAAGCAAGGAACTTACTAGGTGAAGTAAGGAACTTACTAGGTGTACTGAAGCAAGGAACTTACTAGATGAAGCAAGGAACTTACTAGGTGAAGCAAGGAACTTACTAGGTGAAGCAACGAACTTACTAGGTGAAGCAAGGAACTAACTAGGTGAAGCAAGGAACTAACTAGATAAAGCAAGGAACTAACTAGGTGAAGCAAGAAACTTACTGGGTGAAGCAAGGAACTTACTGGGTGAAGCAAGGAACTTACTAGGTGAAGCAAGGAACTAACTAGATGAAGCAAGGAACTAACTAGGTGAAGCAAGGAACTTACTAGGTGAAGTAAGGAACTTACTAGATGAAGCAAGGAACTTACTAGGTGTACTGAAGCAAGGAACTTACTAGGTGTACTGAAGCAAGGAACTTACTAGGTGAAGCAAGGAACTTACTAGGTGAAGCAAGGAACTTACTAGGTGAAGCAAGGAACTTACTAGGTGTACTGAAGCAAGGAACTTACTAGGTGAAGCAAGGAACTTACTAGGTGAAGCAAGGAACTTACTAGGTGAAGCAAGGAACTTACTAGGTGAAGCAAGGAACTTACTAGATGAAGCAAGGAACTTACTAGGTGTACTGAAGCAAGGAACTTACTAGGTGAAGCAAGGAACTTACTAGGTGAAGCAAGGAACTTACTAGGTGAAGCAAGGAACTTACTAGGTGTACTGAAGCAAGGAACTTACTAGGTGAAGCAAGGAACTTACTAGGTGAAGCAAGGAACTTACTAGGTGAAGCAAGGAACTTACTAGATGAAGCAAGGAACTTACTAGGTGAAGCAAGGAACTTACTAGGTGAAGCAAGGAACTTACTAGGTGTACTGAAGCAAGGAACTTACTAGATGAAGCAAGGAACTTACTAGGTGAAGCAAGGAACTTACTGGGTGAAGCAAGGAACTTACTAGGTGAAGCAAGGAACTTATTAGGTGAAGCAAGGAACTTACTAGGTGAAGCAAGGAACTTACTAGGTGAAGCAAGGAACTTACTAGATGAAGCAAGGAACTTACTAGGTGTACTGAAGCAAGGAACTTACTAGGTGAAGCAAGGAACTTACTAGGTGAAGCAAGGAACTTACTAGGTGAAGCAAGGAACTTACTAGGTGAAGCAAGAAACTTACTAGGTGTACTGAAGCAAGGAACTTACTAGGTGAAGCAAGGAACTTACTAGGTGAAGCAAGGAACTTACTAGGTGAAGCAAGGAACTTACTAGGTGAAGCAAGGAACTTACTAGGTGAAGCAAGGAACTTACTGGGTGTACTGAAGCAAGGAACTTACTAGGTGTACTGAAGCAAGGAACTTACTAGATGAAGCAAGGAACTAACTAGGTGAAGTAAGGAACTTACTAGGTGAAGCAAGGAACTTACTAGGTGTACTGAAGCAAGGAACTTAATAGGTGAAGCAAGGAACTTACTAGGTGGAACTTACTAGGTGAAGCAAGGAACTTACTGGGTGAAGCAAGGAACTTACTAGGTGTACTGAAGCAAGGAACTTACTAGGTGGAACTTACTAGGTGAAGCAAGGAACTTACTAGATGAAGCAAGGAACTTACTAGATGAAGCAAGGAACTTGCTAGATGAAGTAAGGAACTTACTAGGTGAAGTAAGGAACTTACTAGGTGTACTGAAGCAAGGAACTTACTAGATGAAGCAAGGAACTTACTAGATGAAGTAAGGAACTTACTAGGTGAAGTAAGGAACTTACTAGGTGTACTGAAGCAAGGAACTTACTAGGTGAAGCAAGGAACTTACTAGGTGAAGTAAGGAACTTACTAGGTGAAGCAAGGAACTTACTGGGTGAAGCAAGGAACTTACTGGGTGAAGCAAGGAACTAACTAGATAAAGCAAGGAACTTACTAGGTGTACTGAAGCAAGGAACTTACTAGGTGTACTGAAGCAAGGAACTTACTAGGTGAAGTAAGGAACTTACTGGGTGAAGCAAGGAACTTACTAGGTGAAGCAAGGAACTTACTAGGTGAAGCAAGGAGCTTACTAGGTGAAGCAAGGAACTTACTAGGTGAAGTAAGGAACTTACTAGATGAAGCAAGGAACTTACTAGGTGAAGCAAGGAACTTACCCAGCTACTGGTTGCATCCTGGCTGAAGCAAGGAACTTACCCAGCAACTGGTTGCATCCTGGCTGAAGCAAGGAACTTACCCAGCAACTGGTTGCATCCTGGCTGATAGATGAAGCAAGGAACTTACCCAGCGACTGGTTGCATCCTGGCTGATAGATGAAGCAAGGAACTTACCCAGCGACTGGTTGCATCCTGGCTGAAGCAAGGAACTTACCCAGCAACTGGTTGCATCCTGGCTGATAGGTGAAGCAAGGAACTTACCCAGCGACTGGTTGCATCCTGGCTGATAGATGAAGCAAGGAACTTACTGGGTGTAGCAAGGAACTTACTGGATGAAGCAAGGAACTTACCCAGCGACTGGTTGCATCCTGGCTGATAGATGAAGCAAGGAACTTACCCAGCAACTGGTTGCATCCTGGCTGATAGATGAAGCAAGGAACTTACCCAGCAACTGGTTGCATCCTGGCTGATAGGTGAAGCAAGGAACTTACCCAGCAACTGGTTGCATCCTGGCTGATAGGTGAAGCAAGGAACTTACCCAGCAACTGGTTGCATCCTGGCTGATAGGTGAAGCAAGGAACTTACCCAGCAACTGGTTGCATCCTGGCTGATAGATGAAGCAAGGAACTTACCCAGCAACTGGTTGCATCCTGGCTGAAGCAAGGAACTTACCCAGCAACTGGTTGCATCCTGGCTGATAGATGAAGCAAGGAACTTACCCAGCAACTGGTTGCATCCTGGCTGAAGCAAGGAACTTACCCAGCAACTGGTTGCATCCTGGCTGATAGATAAAGCAAGGAACTTACCCAGCAACTGGTTGCATCCTGGCTGATAGATGAAGCAAGGAACTTACCCAGCGACTGGTTGCATCCTGGCTGATAGATGAAGCAAGGAACTTACCCAGCGACTGGTTGCATCCTGGCTGATAGGTGAAGCAAGGAACTTACCCAGCGACTGGTTGCATCCTGGCTGATAGGTGAAGCAAGGAACTTACCCAGCAACTGGTTGCATCCTGGCTGAAGCAAGGAACTTACCCAGCAACTGGTTGCATCCTGGCTGATAGATGAAGCAAGGAACTTACCCAGCAACTGGTTGCATCCTGGCTGATAGATGAAGCAAGGAACTTACCCAGCAACTGGTTGCATCCTGGCTGAAGGTGTACTGAAGCAAGGAACTTACCCAGCAACTGGTTGCATCCTGGCTGATAGATGAAGCAAGGAACTTACCCAGCAACTGGTTGCATCCTGGCTGAAGGTGTACTGAAGCAAGGAACTTACCCAGCAACTGGTTGCATCCTGGCTGAAGGTGTACTGAAGCAAGGAACTTACCCAGCAACTGGTTGCATCCTGGCTGAAGGTCGGACAGCAAAAAAAAATCTTTTGTATTCCCCGAGCCACAGCTCTGCTACAAGACGGGCTCCTCTGGTGGAGAGACAAACATTGACAAACATTGACAAACATCGACAAACATTGACAAACATTGACAAACATCGACAAACATTGACAAACATTGACAAACATTGACAAACATCGACAAACATCGACAAACATTAACAAACGTTGACAAACATTGACAAACATTGACAAACGTTGACAAACATCGACAAACATTGACAAACATTGACAAACATTGACAAACATTAACAAACGTTGACAAACATTGACAAACATTGACAAACATTGACAAACGTTGACAAACATCGACAAACATCGACAAACATTGACAAACATTGACAAACATTGACAAACATTGAAAAACATTGACAAACATTGACAAACATTAACAAACGTTGACAAACATTGACAAACATTGACAAACATTGACAAACATTGACAAACATTAACAAACGTTGACAAACATTGACAAACATTGACAAACATTGACAAACATTAACAAACGTTAACAAACATTGACAAACATTGACAAACATTGAAAAACGTTAACAAACGTTGACAAACATTGACAAACATTGACAAACATTGACAAACATTGACAAACATTAACAAACGTTAACAAACATTAACAAACATTGACAAACATTGAAAAACGTTAACAAACGTTGACAAACATTGACAAACATTGACAAACATTGACAAACGTTAACAAACATTGACAAACATTGAATCACATTCCCAAACACTGACCAGACCTTGAGATTCCTTACCTCAAGTAACTGTTAAATGAGGCTGTGGGTTCCTGGCCCAAGTTGCCGCTCTTGATGTTGATCAAACCCACCCGGCTACACGGCGCCATCTCAACCAAACCTCCACACAGCCACGCTCGCAGGGAAAGTTCTAAACAGTAACACAACAGTGTGTTGGTGTTGTCTGTGTTGGTGATGTTGTGGTCTGTGTTGGTGATGTTGTGGTCTGTATATGTGATGATGTGGTCTGTGGGTTGTTACCTAAATCTCCTTGTACAGACGGAGTGACGTCATAACGGCCGATTAAATTAAAAAACTGTCGCGTCACGGCAAAAACATTTCCTGTCATGGCGGGCGATCTGAAAACAGAAGAGATGTTTTTATAGGGGAACCGCCCCACACAGACAGGACAGCTCCCCCACACAAACAGGACCGCTCCCCCACACAAACAGGACAGCTCCCCCACACAAACAGGACAGCTCCCCACACAAACAGGACAGCTCCCCCACACAAACAGGACAGCTCCCCCACACAAACAGGACAGCTCCCCCACACAAACAGGACAGCTCCCCTCACCTGTATGTATCTGCGGGGTCCGTGTGGTGAGAGAAAGGAAGCTGCTCCCAGTGGAACTGCAAACTCCAATCAAAACCTGACCAATTAGTGAGACCAATTAGTGAGACCAATTAGTGAGACCAATTAGTGAGACCAATTAGTGAGACCAATTAGTGAGACCAATTAGTGAGGCCAATTAGTGAGACCAGAAAGTGAAACCAATTAGTGTAGTCACAATATCAAAAACTTTGATTCGAGAATTTTTTATTCTACACTTCCAAGTTTTTAACAAGTTTCCAATAGTCTTCTGTTTCACTCTGCAGTTACCTCTCCTCGGCTAGTAGTTATCTCCCCTCACTCAAAAGTTATCTCCCCTCACTCAAAAGTTACCTCCCCTCACTCAGAAGTTATCTCCCCTCACTCAAAAGTTACCTCCCCTCACTCAAAAGTTATCTCCCCTCACTCAGAAGTTACCTCCCCTCACTGAGAAGTTACTCCCCGCATTTAGTAGTTACCTTCCCTTACCAACTCTGTAGAGCTCTGGCAGCGAGAAATATTCCAGCGTATTTCTGTCAATGACGTCAAACACGGGGGTGACTATGGAGTTTGGACTCTAGGAAAATACATAGGGAAAAGGTGAATTGATGTGGTGACCTATTGGATGTGGTGACCTATTGGATGTGGTGACCTATTGGATGTGGTGACCTATTGGATGTGGTGACCTATTGGATGTGGTGACCTATTGGATGTGGTGACCTATTGGATGTGGTGACCTATTGGATGTGGTGACCTATTGGATGTGGTGACCTATTGGATGTGGTGACCTATTGGATGTGATGACCTATTGGATGTGGTGACCTATTGGATGTGGTGACCTATTGGATGTGGTGACCTATTGGATGTGGTGACCTATTGGATGTGGTGACCTATTGGATGTGGTGACCTATTGGGTGTGGTGACCTGTGGGATGCGGGGAGTCGCCTCAAAGACTTGTACAAAAGTAAAGGTGTCTTATATGTACATGAGACCGATCGACGTCTGGCACCCAGGGGTGGCCGTCAAGATAAACTCTGGGTGGGTCTCCGGGGGGGGGGTGTGCAGGGATCAATGGCATGAATGATTCCTTCGTGTTTTTGTTCGAATTCTGTTTTGGCATTGGTCACGTGACCACTGACTTGGCATTGGTCACGTGACCACTGACTCTGTAGGCACCAGTCATTGACCCTGCTCTAAACAAAATTGAAGCTGGGAAGGAGCCGATACCCGGGCCGCTGGGTTGGGACACCCCTGGGTTGGGACACCCCTGGGTTGGGACACCCCTGGGTTGGGACACCCCTGGGTTGGGACACCCCTGGGTTGGGACACCCCTGGGTTGGGACACCCCTGGGTTGGGACACCCCTGGGTTGGGACACCCCTGGGTTGGGACACCCCTGTGCTTGTTTACACACCTCCATCAAGCGGACCACCAGGGGAAGCAACCAGCCTTTATTCATCTCCGTGAGAGCGTCAACAAACACGATCATGTCCCCTGTAGCTGCTGCATAACCTTTCAGCCGAGCCAAGCTGCGCCCTGAAAAAAAAACATTTCTCTATAACCCAAAGTTGCAGATTTACAACAGGCGTCACACAACAAGAGTAAACTACTCTTGTAATGATATTAGAAGTTACATTTTACTTTCTCGTATACGAAGTATAGAGAAAGTATTGTAATCGTGCAAAAAAAAAAATCGAGATTTTTGCAAATCTCGATGTTTGACTCCTCCCTGAGTCGGAAAAACATATTTTTTGCAATCGTGTATTCTTTTGTCTGTGTGTGTGTGTATATGTGTGTGTGTCTGTGAAAACGATAACTTGAGTGCCGTTACAGCTAGGTTGATGAAATTTCATATATAAGTATTATATCAAATGTGTAGATCTGTATCAACTTTTCAGCGATTTCCGATAACCGGAAGTGGCAATTATGCTACTTTCAATTTTTCAAAAGCCCATTACTTGAGTACTGTTTCAGATAGATAAATGAAATTTCACATGTAAGTATAAGATCTAATTCGCTGCCTTTTTTCAAAATGTGAGTAATTTCCGTGGAGCAGAAGTAGTAATTTACGCTATTTCCGATTTCTGAAAAAACGCATGTGAATTTATAAAGTACTAATAATATTCCGCACTATTATAGACAGATTTTTTGGCGTTCACTTGGTACGTAATTCTTTGATCTACGAGATTATATTCTATTTTTAAAAGTTTAAGTAAATAAAAAAGGATTAAAAATCATTCCTATATGTCAAGGTGCCATCCCCCGTAGTGTTATATAAGAAGCTTAGGGGAGATCACTCCCGGTTTATTTACAATAGATGTGCATGACTAAAAACCATTGCGCACCTAATGAACGTGATAATGCGTGTATAATAGTGAGGAATAGTTGGGTAAGACTGCCTTCTAATTTGGGCTAAGTAGTTACTTCCTCGACTAACATTCTAAACAATGCCATGCAAAGAGTTAGGCTAAGTAGTTACCTCCTCTGAATTCATCATGAATTATTTTAAGCCCTGGAACTTTGGAAAAACTTGTTGAACCTAGAAAAGAAAGATCCAATAAGGTTAGCCAATAGACGACATAGGAAATATGAAACACTAGCCGTCGGTACCCGTTACACGTACGTGAATTATAGGCCTATATATTTTAATGTTATTCTTGTTTGAGAAAAATATTTTATAAATTAGTTATTGGTCAAAACGCGAAGTGCTTTACTACACGTTGAAAGATATTAGTGACAAAGTAAAGAAGTAACTAAACAGCTAAAAATCCGACACATTTAAAATAACGTAGGCTACACGCTGGATAATATACTTAAATGATTCTGTTAAAAACCCGGCTGTTCAATGGTCATTATCAGTGGCGTAGCTAGGATTTTTGAGCCCCTATGCAAAAAGTGTTAGTGGGCCCCTCAGAGGCGTAGCGACCCTTCCCGGCGACCGGGGACAAACTTTCGATTTGCACACCCCCTCAGACTTTCGATTTGCACCCCCCCCCCCCTCAGACTTTCGATTTGCACCCCCCCCCTCAAACTTTCGAAAAATGGCCCCTATTTGCCTTGGGCCCCTATGCCTTGCTTACGCTAGCTTTACGGTAGCTACGCCACTGGTCATTATGTTGTTTTTTAAAGTAATTTGTATCACTTTTGGCCGAGAAAATTGTATATATTTCATAGGGTACATTTTGATAAGTAGATCTATAGATCCAAGTCAAATTCGAATGAAATAGTTCATTTCTTCTTATTCTATTATGGGAAGATGACGACATTAGTTTTGTGTACTTTCCGTAGTTTAAACATGTGACATGTGACGTCATATATTTTTGCGTTCTCGTCATCAAAATAAACACTTTTCCGTTTGCATGACGTGGTCGAGTCGGTAAAGCTCATGGTTACTAAATCGAAAAGTCTCGAGTTCGAACCCTCAGGCAGATGTGGCCTGTTAGCTGGGGACAGCCACTTTTCTAGGAGAGACAACTCCAAAATCAAACAACTGCTGCCTTGTAGTTTGTTCTTGGTTGGATAAAGGCTACGGAAGCAAATCCAAAAAGAAAAGCAGGCTGAAATCGGAGTCAATGGTCTAAATGGCAAATAACCAGTTGACACGTATCATCCTTAATTGTGATGGAGGCGTGGTCGAGTCGGCAAAAGCTCATGGTTGATAAAAAAAATTCTCGAATTCAAACCCTCTGGCGGGTAAGGCTCAATCCCTTCCAATACTAAAAATTAAGAACGAAGAAGAAGAGGAAGAGTTTGCATGATTCATCGTGTGTTTCTACATTCGAATATGTCTGTATTTTTAATTTCTGTCTTTAAATAAAATTTAGTATATACATTTAAAACATCCAACATATTATTTTCAACAAAAGTCAGTATCTTTACGTTCTCCATATGTCGCTGAACATACTGATCACAAACATGTTGCGGACAGAGAGAGAGAGAGAGAGAGGTGCGCACATAGTCTTTTATATATTAGGATGTACTATGAAACATAAACTATGAAACATAAACTATGAAACATGAACTATGAAACGTGAACTATGAAACATGAACTATGAAATATGAAAATTGAACTATGAAAACCTGAATACGAGTCACGAACTATCAGACATGAACTGACCTGGTTTCACATCGTGGACAAGAATAAGTTCACTAACGGGAACATGTTCCGCGCGTTCTAGAAGACTGAGGAACAAAAACATTGGATGGGGATGAAATAGTTGTCATGGGGAACTGTTTGTCTCACCTGTGGAACATCTGTCATGGGGAACTGTTTGTCTCACCTGTGCAGGTTTCTTGTCACGACGGACAGGTCAGTTTGAGCGGCCGTCACGATGACACTCAGCGCCGGTAGACGAAGATTTGTTGGGCCAAATCTTGAGGGACAGCTGGGGATAGAGTGGGATACATTTGTTGGGCCAAATCTTGAGGGACAGCTGGGGATAGAGTGGGATAGATTTGTTGGGCCAAATCTTGAGGGACAGCTGGGGATAGAGTGGGATAGAGTGGGATAGAGTGGGATAGAGTGGGATAGGATTTGACGGACTCAAGTCTCTGACCTGTGTGACCTTCTGACCTGTGTGACCTTCTGCTAGTTACCTGTCGTGGCGTGTGTCTGGAATGGACCTGTCCACTTGCAGGGCTCTACTTGTCTCAACATTGTAGCCAAACTCTGTCGTCTGCTTGCCTTCAAACACAAGCTTCAAATAGTTCAGTATGCTGGCGTCAAAGCTGACCTAACAATAGAAACACATTGACTGACGACCGATTCAAACAAAAAATATCAAATAAATAAATAAACCGGGAGTGATCTCCCCTAAACTTTCTCGAATATTCTAATATAACTCTACGGGGGATGGCAACTCGGGACATAGACAATATTTTAAAGCCATTTCTAATTACATAAACTTTTTATAATAGAATAGAATCTCGTAAAAAAAATTGCACACCAAGTGAACGCCAAATAAAATGTGCATAATAGTGAGGGATATTGTTAGTACTTTATAAATTCACATGCGTTTTTTGAGAAATCGGAAATAGCGTAAATTTCTACTTCCGGTTGACGGAAATTACTCAGTGGTCCAGCATAGGCTAGAGTCAGTGGTCCAGCATAGACTAGAGTCAGTGGTCCAGCATAGACTAGAGTCAGTGGTCCAGCATAGACTAGTCAGTGGTCCAGCATAGATTAGAGTCAGTGGTCCAGCATAGACTAGAGTCAGTGGTCCAGCTTAGGCTAGAGTCAGTGGTCAAGCATAGACTAGAGTCAGTGGTCCAGCATAGATTAGAGTCAGTGGTCCAGCATAGATTAGAGTCAGTTGTCCAGTCTGGCAGAGACTCCCTATCATGTCATACAAATAGCCTACTCACCGTGCTTGCTGATCTAGAGAAAATGGAATCCCGAACGTCCGTCCAGTACCAGAAGAACACGGCGAGAGTTGGGGTTAAAATACAAACAACTGGCCAAGCTCTGCGCCTCATTCTATGCTCGCTGTGTACACACGTCTACCCCACACGTGCGTGCTCACGTCTGCTCCCCCATTGCGTGCTCACGTCTGCTCCCCCATTGCGTGCTCACGTCTGCTCCCCCATTGCGTGCTCACGTGTGCCCCACATATGTGTGCTCACATCCTATGGGTCTACAACACGTTTCTTGCATGCCATAGATCGATAGAATCCTCTGTATGAATATGTATATGTGTGTTCGTGTAAATGTATCTGCGTATGTTTGTATGGCTTTGTGTGTTACATGACTAAAGACCACTTTGTGTGAGTGTATTTGTGTGAATCTTTAGATGTGAATTTATACGGAACGTTGCTGGTCCATCTGCAGTGTGTGTTGTGGTCTGTGTGTTGTGGTCTGTGTGTTGTGGTCTGTGTGTTGTGGTCTGTGTGTTGTGGTCTGTGTGTTGTGGTCTGTGTGTTGTGGTCTGTGTGTTGCATCAGAGGCGTAGCGACCCTTCCCGGCGCCCGGGGACAAACTTTTCGATTTGCACCCCCCTCAAACTTTCGATTTCCACCCCCCCTCAAGATTTCGATTTGAACCCCCCCCTCAAACTTTCGATTTGCACCCCCCCCCTCAAGATTTCGATTTGCACCCTCCCCCCCCCCCCCCAAACTTTCGATTTCCACCCCCTCAACCTTTAAATTTATTTTTCCAACCCATTTTGGCGCCCCTAAGGTCGGCGCCCGGGGACATATGTCCCCCCCCCCCCCTCGCTACGCTACTGCTGACAACCATTCACTCCAACTTTTATACCGCATTTGACCTTGGGATAACAATACATCAACACACCGGGGTTAACAATACTCTAGGGTAAACTCAACTCACACACGCACACTCCCCTAATTCTAGATTATTCTAAACTATTTCTATCTAACCTACAACTGACACGTAACAAACATAAACGCATAGCGCTCACAGTCTAACCCGTGGCGCCAAATCACACCCTGTCCGAGCGCCGGCTAATTATATTATTCCAACAATAATTCTCTTTTCGACTTCCGCAGATTTTGCATTCACCTTTTTTTTACTAGCGTGAGTTGAATTTATTTTTAAATTACCTACCCTGGCGTAACTATTTAAAGATTTTAATTAAATATTTTTTCGACCCTACTGTAATGAAAATGTTTCCAATTTTTCTAGGAATATAATCGAAATTGATATTGGACATAGATCCGTTTAATATGTTTTAGCAATGTGCGTGTATTTAATATTTTCTTCACGTTATTCGAAAGTGTAAAAACTGTGGAAACTATAAAATAAATTTAAATCGTTATAAAAACAAACCCTACACTTTTACTTAAAATAAGACATTGCGATGCACAGTAAAAGCACTGCATGGTGCGATGTTTACTTTTATGATTCGTAAATCTATAGCGATGACGGACTGACACACTACCTAGCCGCTAATATATATATATATATATATATATATATATATATATATATATATATATATATATATATATATATATATATATATATATATCGTGCGGCGTCAATTCGGCCAATGACGAAACGGCCCCGTCAAAACTACCCCGACAAAACGACCCCGTCAAAACGACCCCGTCAAATCGGCCCGTCAAAAGGGCCAGCGACATATGGACCCCGTCATATAGGCTCCCGACAAATAGGCTCCCGTCATTTAGGCTACCGACAAATAGGCTCCCGTTATATCGTCTCCCGACAAAAGGGCTCCAGTCAATAAGGCTCCTGACAAATAGGCTCCCGTCATTTTGGCTCCCGACATATAGTCTCCCGTCATTTAGTTTTTTCCACAAAACGGCCCCCGTCATTACGACTCCCGACAAATAGGCTAGCGTCATTTTGGCTCCCGACAAAAAGGCTCCTGTCAATTTGGCTCCAGACAAAAGGACCACTGACACAGTGGCGTAGCTACCGTAAAGCTAGCGTAAGCAAGGCATGGGGGCCCAAGGCACATAGGGGCCCTTTTCCCTCATAAAAAATTAAAAGTTTTACAATGGAATTTTAATATTTGTTACATATAAATAATTTTAAAAAAGAAAAAGGTTAAAAGTTCCAAAAAGCCCCACCCCCCCCCCCCCCCCCACCGTTTCGGCAGTGGGATTCAGTGTTTGTGGGTCAAACAGAGCCCAATCGTTATAATAACACTACAGGCTATATCACTTTGTCGTGCAAGACATTGAGAGAATCAGCCTATAAATAAACTTTTTAGCAGTAGTAGGCAAGCATAATAATATAGTATAAATACAAAATCAGGACATATAAAATACAAAATGTTGCCTTCAGAATATTTATATATTAAAAAATATCCATCGTAAGTAGAAGTTGATCTCTTCGTTTAACTCCTCTGTAGCCTAACGCAGAGGCGTAGCGAAGGCGAGGCGGGGGGTGCGGACCGCAACGGGTGACACCATTTAGGGGGGGGGGGGTGACACCAAAGGCAAAAAATTGTAAAATTTATAGAATGAAATGCCATTTTCCAGATCCATTAGTTAAAGTTAAATAGTCTTCTAAGTACAAATCGAATATTATATCAAGAGGGGGGGGGGGGTGTGACACCACGACGTAAACGTAAACTATAAAGAAAACAATGCTACATCCAACTGTATTATACACAGACTGTAGATAAACATCGTTACTAATAAGTCGGCAGTGATTAAAGCTTAAACACGTACGTGTACCAGTATGTGGCATATATATAAATTTTAGGCCTATGTAGGCCAACACACACACACACATATATATATATATATATATATATATATATATATATATATATATATATATATATATATATATATATATATATATATATATATATATATATATATATATATATATATATGCTTTGTTTCCTGGGAGGGGGTGACAATACGAAGTGCCGCACCGGGTGAGACCCGACCTAGCGACGCCACTGGCCTAACGGCTGACGATAATTTTTGCATAGGGGCCCAAAAATCCTAGCTACGCCACTGCACTGACAATACCGTTTCTGTAGAGACTAAGTCTCCCGGCAAAGCGGTCTCATTGAATATGACATCTGCCAGTGGGACCCCTTCATCAATATTCTTTAGAGTTAGCTTATCCAACACTCTTATGTAATACAACGTATGCATCTCTTGTTCGGCAGGCCTTATTTTTATATTAGTTTATCTATTATAAAATATAGTATGTTTTAATTTAAGGGTCATCTATCTATGACATCCATAATTGAGTCGGTTATAGGCTGTTCCAACTCATTGTGTGGGGAGAAGGGTCCACGCTGTACCTTCCTAACTGCAATATGCTTGTACAGGGGCGCAGTGAGGGGAGGGGCGGGGGGTGTGGACCGCACCGGGTGAAACCATTTAGGGGGGTGACACAAAGGCAAAAAATAGCAAAATATATAGAGAAAAAGTTGAGGGGGTGGGGGTGCAAATCGAAAGTTTGGTGGGGGGGGGGGGTGCAAATCGAAAACTTGAAAGTTTGTCCCCGGGAAGGGTCGCAACGCCTCTGGGGGGGGGGGGTGACACCATTAAATGCCGCACCGGGTGACACCCGACCTCGCTACGCCACTGTGCTTGTAGGTTATCAAAACAAAATGCTGTTATCATGTTAACATCATGTATATCATACATTTACACTTCTGTGCTCGCTTTTAAGCAACAGATCTTTTCTGTTGTAAATTAAACATTATCAAAACTTTAGAATTGGTGGAATTTAGCTGTTAAGGGCTCGATTTGTTTGTGAATTAATGTTGGTTCATGAAAAAATAATTTCATTCGGGCATTAAAAAGAGGTTATGGTGGTATTGGAGGTAGGACACAATGGTTACTTTTATGCCAATAGTGGTCATATCATTCATTTTTCTGGAGCCAATATGTCGGGAGCCAATTTGTCGGTAGCCAAAATGTCGTGAGCCCATTTGCCGGGAGCCCATTTGTCTTGAGCCCTTATGTCGGGAGCCAATATGTCGGGAGCCGCTTTGTCGGGAGCCAATATATCCTGAGCCTATTTGTCAGGGGTTAATATGTCGGGAGTCCATTTGTCGGGAGCCTAAATGTCGGGAGCCCATTTGTCGGGAGCCTATATGTCGCAAGTCAATATGACGGGAGCCCATTTGACGGGAGCCAATAAGTCGGGGCCCTTTTGACGGGGCTATTTTGACGGGGTCGGTTTGTCGGGAGTCGATTTGACGGGGTCGTATTAACGGGGCCGTTTTGACGGGGTCGATTTGTCCCGGGCCGTTTTGACAGGGCAGCACCATATATATATATATATATATATATATATATATATATATATATATATATATATGGCCCTTTGAGGAAGGATACTAAAACCAAAATCACCACCATAATTACATTTAACGGGAAATGATAGCGGTTAGGACGAGGGCAATTCTGGAATGTATATATTTGAGACGGAATAAAAGTAGTGAACATAGTCACGAAGCGTTGTTGTTTATCTGAAACTAACCTGGACGTAACAATGTTTGCATTTAAGTTGTGTTTATGTTATGAGTGTTCTGTTTGTGTGTTCTTTTATGTTTGTGTTTTCTTTTATGTTTATGTGTGTGTTGTGTTTAGTTTTGTTCTGTTCCCAAGTTGGTACACCAAAAAAGATTTACCGTGGCGGAGCACGAGTATGCATCTAATATATATATATATATATATATATATATATATATATATATATATATATATATATATATATATATATATATATATATATATATATATATATATATATGACACCATTAAGTGCCACACCGGGTGACACCGGACCTAGCTACGCCACTGTATATTAATATATTAATATTGGCCTATTCTTTAGTGTATAGGCCTACATTCTCTTTTTTTTTTACTTTGAAAATGGCCGGTAGCTGGATCTGTATCCTGTCCGACATGGTTTTTAAAAAAAAAGCTTGATCTTGATTTAGATCTAGAGTCTAGATCTAAATAATAACAGTTAGATCTAACTTAATTTTAATAGATTAGGCCTAAACTTGCAACGAACGTTTGACCGGACTCCAGCAGTCAGCTGTCGTTCTTTGGCCTGACCACTACCAGCTGTGTCAAAAAGAAAGAAAAAAAATATTGATTCTTTCTTACTGTCGTTGCACATGAGGTCCTGAGTTTGACTAGGCCTACCGGCTGTTGACATGTCGTCCCAAGTGTATGAATCGAAGAAAGTGTTGAGTGAATACTTAGCCTTTCACTATGGTCAGCCAGATGAGCTTATGCCATATGATTTTGGTCCAAAAGATGCGCTTGATTTCCCTAAACGATGTGCTGACCTATGTTTAAAACATTTTCGTCATCAGGTAGGCCTGCATTTTTTTTTTTTTTGTTTAGCTAGTTCTAGTCTAGCTGTTAGGCAATAGTTCTAGATCTAGTTTTAGATAATTTTATTAGTTCTAGATAATAGATATGAGCGAAAAAAGGGGTAATCAGTTATCGGTAAAATCGCGATATAGCGTCGGAAATTATCTGGTAATGTTTGTTGAGTTTCGGTAACATTCGTTACTGTAAACCATATTTTATTTGACCGTTGAAATAAAAATGAGTCAAGTGCATTAAATTAATGGTTTAACTTAATTTAATGTTTAATTGACACAAAAATTAGCAACAATTAGTAAATATAAATATTATAAATTAAGTCGAGTGTATTAATTAATGTGTTTTTTTAAGAAACCCAGAAAAAAACTTGCAGAAGATTTGCGACAACTAGAGATCTAGATTCTAGATCCAGATTCTAGATCTAGTCTAGTAAAATTTAATAAGACGATTAGATTTACTATAAACTTAAAGTTAAAGTACTAAGAAGAACTAGAACAATGTTAAGTAGCAGCAATAATTAGCACATACAGTTAAAATAATTAGAAATACAAAATAATTAGCAAAACAGTATTTAAAATGCAACTAAAATTAATCCATTCACATTTTTTAAACATTATGTATTGTATGTATTAAAAATAACAAAGTGACTACACCTCTCGCACTACACCTCTCGCAGAGCGTGGCCCGTAATGAAGTGACTACGCGTCTCGCAGGTTGGATTTGCCATCAAGTGATTGAAAATGCTTACTTTTTCCTTTTCCAATTCATTTTTACGTTTTATTTTTTCATATTAAAAACATGACCTGTTATTCTTTTTTTTTAAATAAAATTTCCAAACATCGTCACTGGCGTGATTGCATGCTTACGTTTACTATCACGTGAGTGAAAAATCCCACAACAGCCCACGATCGGCGAGGTCACTGAGTTCAGCAGGCCTAAAGCATACGTCATAGAATGAACACAAGTTCACGAGATCGTCTGTGTCTTCACTTCTCCCCCCCCCCCCCCCCTCCCCACTCAAGCAAATTGAGGATTAATAATATAGACTTATACCAACTATCACGCATGCTAGATAGCTGTAACAACAATTTACTAAAGGGCAGTTTGATTTAGCATGATTGCTGCTAGATCTAGGACTATCATCTGACCCACTACTGACACTGTACTGTTTTTTTTTACAAGCACTAGACTAGATCTAGATTCTTAGGTGTTGAAATAATACACTTAAACTAGATCTAGATCCATGTCAACATTAAATTGCTAACACGATCGCGTGCCACCTAGGGTCAAGAGTTGGCGTAACGCAGAGCGAACCGCGCAAATGCGGCCTAAAAATAATATGGCGGCAAATAAATGATGGTTTACAGTATTTTTGGTGGTTTCCGGAACGGCTCGGCAGACTAAGCCATGGTTTTACTGTTGTTGTTTTTTTTTTTTTTTACTGATGTACAATTCCGGAATAATAATGGACGCTATATTCTGATTTTACCCAGTAATCTATAGTTTTAGGGTAAAACCTCAGTTTAGCTTTGTAAATTCCAACGAAGCTAGTAATGTGCGTTGGAGGTAACTAATGAATATTTCTTTCATTTCGCCCTATATTTATTACATATTTTACATAATATAACAGATAATTGAATAAAAATCACAATCCATGACCAAACTAGTCAAAAATATCCTAGAATAAAATTTAAACTACCCTGTTCCAGAAAACGAGTAAATACAAGCAGCGGCCAAGATTCAAAAACAATAATAGAGTAGTTTCCCTTGAAAAATTGTCTATTCGCTTGTCTGTTGTGTTGATTTTTGTAGTTTAATATGGTTGTTTTGTATTGTTTTAATATATGCTTGTATCACAATTTTTCTTTTTTTCTCAATATGATTGAAATGAATGACTATTAGACCTTTATATTGTGCATCTAAGACCACAACAATTGTTTCAAGGTCGAACTTTTGAACACTTTTTTTGCAGTAATCCAACCAATATTAGATCGCCCATAAAGGACGTCGCTCTTACGGGGCTAAGATAGTTATGACAGCGCGCACTATTACAGAACAAATATAATGATAAACATAATTTTTTTAAGTATGACCCCCGAAACCCACAGTTATTGTTTCAGATAGAAATTGTGATTTGTGGTGGGGAGAGATTGAGAAGAACTCAGCGATGTGATTTTGAGACGGGTCAGGTTTTTTTTTTCGTGAAAACGGGATGGTTGTGGGAGAAAGACTAGCTGTAGAAGTATGACGCGTCATTCATTGGTGATCCATTTTGTCAGTGGGGACGATAGAACTATTAAAAAGGGTCGAGAAATGTACAAAGCATGCTGAGTCGTATTTCTTGAACCCAACCGTTTCATCCCACACTTAGCACAACGTCACCGAGATAACGCTCGCGCGTGACATCATGTACTGGTACCGCCGACCGTTAGGCTAATTTTATAGAAAAAACAAAACAAGCACTGCCGTTTTGACGCTTATGCGACGTTTAATTTGATTAATTATGTTGGTGTTTAATTAAACAGCACCCAACCCATCCATTACTCGTCCATTTAAACGTACGTAGTTATTTCTGCAAGCTGCTGTCTTGAGACTTTCGGCCCTTTAAAAATGTATTAAGCTCCCACCTTATAGAACTGGACTACCCATAAAGCTTCAAAAGAAACTTGTCATTAAGGAGCTTGGCGACAATAGGATGGCCGTCCGATTTTGAAGCTGCCCTGCGCTGTATAAAAAGCACAATTAACGATAAGATGACACTTATATTAAGTAAATTACAATTCAGAATCTTAACACATTAAAACTGACATTCGAAAATTAAGAGCTGTGTATTTGGCCTAACAGTCAACATGATATTTCAATTTAAGTCCAAGAAAAAAAAATCCACAAAAGATGGAACATCACAAAATTTGTGCGCAGTTTCGCGAAATTAAATGAAAGTATTTACGTCATCTTACAAAGCGCGATAGCCTACTGGTGCTCTAACGCGGCCCCATGCTAATGGCCGTATTCCTAACGCCCCGCATTAGACGCGGCTTATTCGTCGGCAGGCAATTGGTGGCAAGCCTTTTTGACGGGGATAATGAATTGAGGCCGTTTTGCCAAATGTTTTCAGCAAGTTATACGTATACTAATGCTTATTTATCGTTATTTTGATTGAACATAGCATTATAGAGGCTCTCCGTCAATGACCTTGGTATTTTCCCCGTACACCTCCTTTCATGAGACCGACACGTCTTAAATTGTGGACCCGGCTGAGTTGACGTCACAAATCTTCACTCACTCCCGTAGCAAATCAGATGTGACATCATTTATGGAGAGCCTCATATCACTCATTTGGGTGTTTGACATTTTGAAAACAAACGATAGCCAAAATGTGTCTGAAAGGTGGAGACATGGGATAAAAGAACACGTACTGAAAGGGTGGAGTGGCTGATTGTTTTAGATGATGTTTTAGGGGGAAGCTGGTGGATAATACATTGTGTCTCTCTGTATATAAAAATTATGAAAAACGTGACTTTTTGTGACATTGACAACGAAAATATGATGGCGGTTGGGGTTTAATTAAGGTAAAGAGAAGTAAAAAATAAACTGTCATAATTTACGATTGAAACACTCATTATTGAAAAGAAAACCTGAAATGAAAATAGCGAACATTCAAACAATAAGAAAAAGCTCAAACTGTATAGTAATGGTAATGATCAAATAAACATTAGTACTAAAAAACGTGATTTTCATACATGGATACAAGTTGCATCTCACAATACTTTTAGATTTGTTGATGTTGTTTGTCAGTAAAATAAGTTTTTAAATGTCAGAATTTTTAAAAAAAATGCTTTGTAGGCCTATACAACAAGACAATCATATTTACATACATTTACATACGAATATAAATAAATGAAAGGGAAGCTACTCTAAATAATATTTTCTTAGGATGGCTGGTGTTTTTAACAGTAAATTTACTATCTCGAAAAGGGTTCATAAAAATTAATTTCATGATAATTGAATTGATTTAATCATAAATATTGATCTATTATTCAATTATCGGTAAAATCTTAGTTTAGCGTCGTAAATTCCAACGTAGCTAGTAATGTGCGATGAAGGTAACTAATGAATATTTCTTTCATGTGGCCATATTTATGTCATATTTTACATAATATAACAGATAATTGAATAACAAATCACAATCCACGACAAAAACAATAAAAAATATCCTGGAATAAACTTTAAACTACCCCGTTCGAGACAACAATGAGTAAATACAAGCAGCGGCCATGTTTCAAAAACCATAAATTGTCTATTCGCATGTCTTTTGTGTTGATTTTGTGGTTTAATATGATTGTTTTGTATTGATTTAATATATGCCTGGGGGTCGTCCATAAATGACGTCACACTCGTAGGGCGGAGGGGGGTCCGTAATTTTGTGACGTTGTGTGATGAGGGGGGGGGTTGTAGGCTGAGGTGTGACGCAGAGGCGTAGCGATGGGGGGGGGGGACATATGTCCCCGGGTGCCGACCTTAGGGGGCACCCAAAATGGGTTGGAAAAAGTAATCGAAAGTTTGAGGGGGGGGGGGTGCAAATCGAAAGTTTGAAGGGGGGTGCAAATCAAAAGGTTGAGGGGGGTGCAAATCGAAAGTTTGTCCCCGGGCGCCGAGAAGGTTCGCTACGTCTCTGAATCTTGATGCATTAAAAGTGATATTCGGAAATTAAGAGCCAGACAGTCAACATGATATTTCAATTTAAGTCCAAGAAAATAAATTTCCTCAAACGATGGAACATTACTAAATTTTCATGATACCGACACGTCATAATTTGCAGAGCCGCCTGAATTGACGTCACAAATCTCCACTCACTCCCGTAGCAAATCATATGTGACATCATTTATGGACAACCCCATATCACTCACTTGGGTACTTGATATTGACAATTTGACAACAAAGGATAACCAAAATGTGTTTGACAGGTGGAGACTTGCGATCGACCATAATGACAACACGCACTTAAGGGGTGGACTGGCTCATTGTTTTAGATGATGTTTTACGAGGGAAGCTGGTGGAAAATACATTTTGTCTCTCTGTATATATAAATGATGACAAACATTTAATGTTGTCAAAATTATGGTTAGAGATCTAAGATAAGGCAGAGTGAAGCGTAATTTTTTACATTATGACTTGTTGTGACATTGACAACAAAAATATGACGGAGGTTGGGGTTTAATTAAGGTAAAGAGAAGTAAAAAAAATGTCATAAGTTACGATAGAATCACTAATTGATGAAAAGAAAAACCTGAAATGAAAATAGTGAACATTCAAACAATAAGAAAAAACTCAAACTATATAGTAATAGTAAGATCAAATAAACATTAGTAAAAAAAAAAAAACGTGATTTAATAGGCTACATGGATACAAGTTGCATCGCACAATGCTTCTAGAATTAATAAAGTTGTTTGTTAGGAAATTCAGTTTTTAAAGGGCAGAATTTTTTAAAAAATTGCTTTGTAATACGGAGTATACAACAAGACAACTATATAACAAGACAATCATATTTAAATACATTTTCATACGAATAGAAATGAAAGGGAAGCTACTCTAAATAACATTTTCTTAAGATGACTGCTGTTTTTAATAGCAAATTTACTATCTCGAACATGGTTGATACAAATTAATTTTAGGATATTTAAATTGATTTAGTCATAAATGGTGATCTATTATTCAATTATCTATAATATTTTATCAAAATATACGAAAATATACTCTTATTTAATGACATATTCATTAATTCACTCTCTCCCACATTACTAGTTTTGGCCGAATTTACGACGCTAAACTAAGATTTTACCCAATTATCTATAATACTCTATTAAAATATACTCATATTTAAAGACACATTCATTAATTCCCCCCCCCCCCCTCACACACATTACTAGTTTTAGTCGAATTTACGACGCTAAAGTAAACTAAGTAACTAAGGTTTTACCCGTTTTATTTTAGCATTAAATAAATTAAATTTATTAGCATAATCCGGCGGCACTGTAGGTAACAAATGAATACATTTTTGAAATACGTAAATTGATGTCAAATATTACAAAATGTAACAGATAATACATTTATAAATAACAATCAATGGCAAATGCAATCGAAATTATTATGATACTAACTTTAAACAAGGTGTTTGAGGTAAATATTAGTAAATTTTAAAAAGCGGCCATATTGACAAACAAAAATTAAAATCGTTTCCCTTGAACAAATGTCTATTTGTATGTATATTGTGTTAACTTTTGTTGTTAATATTCTTAGCTGTCTTGAAATGAAGGCTATATTTATCTCTATTTCCAAGACATAACAACTGTTGGGAGGTCCAACATTTGTGTTGATTAACTTGTCATTATTAGGTTGTCCATAAATGACGTCAGACTCAAAATACGGAAGGTTTAAAATAATTTATTTATTTTGTTATATTTTTATAGAATAAAAATTGATGAAGAACATGACGTTTGTTTTTGTTAGAAATGGTGATTTAGGGTTGAGGGTGTAGCAGAACATCTGGGTTTTAGTTAGCATTGGGGGAGGGGAAATCTTCTGAAAATTGTAACGTCATTTCTGGGCTCTCTATTTATGCCTAGCTATTTACTTTATTTTTATCAGCTGGTATTTTTATTAGGCATACACTTTGTATGAGTTAATTTTTGTTTTGTTTATCAAAGTATTTTTAATTAGTTAATTTAATACAGCATGGTTTTATGTTTTGTGTGCTTCCTGCATTCATTAGTATTCGATGTTTACCTCTGCCCACCAACTATTGGTACAAAATAGTTGGGACTTTTGTTTAACGAATAGATCGAAATGATGTTTTGTTCGAAAAATGGTGTTGAATTTAGCACGTGTACTGTCCCCTTCAGTGAAATACAATGTATAGAAAACATATACTTTTACCAGTGTACTGTCCCCTTCAGTGAAATACAATTTATAGAAAACATAGACTTTTACCAGTGTACTGTCCCCTTCAGTGAAATACAATGTATAGAAAACATATACTTTTACCAGTGTACTGTCCCCTTCAGTGAAAACAATTTATAGAAAACATATACTTTTACCAGTGGCTGAGCCCTCCCCAGAAAATTAAGCCCACCCCAAACCCGAAAATGTCAAACAGATGTGCTTCAGGGTGGGTGGAGGGGGGGGGGGCAATCTAGTTTCTTTATTTTCTACTTATCAAGAATTCATAATTTGTGAAATCGACACTACCCCACGCCCTGACTCCCCCACCCCGCCCAGTGAAAGCAGCCGTTTACAGACGACAATGAAAATATCAAGCAGAACTTATCTCCCCTTAGTTTCAAATCTTTTAAAAACTAAGTTATCTGCCCCTAATAGCCGTCACTTATTCGAACCGGCTCTAATATTGTAAACATTTGGGGTGAACCCTAGCTCACCTGACAGGTGGGGATGAGGGTGGTGGCTACGCTGCGTGGTGTCTCTTATGGTCCCCATGAAGAGAATTATATATATAGAAGAAGAATGTTTGCCATTCATTTGGTGCGCATTTTTTTTTTCTTCGAGATTCTTTTCTATTTTAAAAAGCTTATATTAAGTAATTAAAAATGGATTAAAAATCATGTCTATATCCCGAGTCGCCATCCCATATAGTGTTATATAAGAATATTCGAGAAAGTTTAGGGCAGATCACTCTCCCGGTTTATTTAAAAGATTTTTTAAAAATTGAGTATGATTACATAGACCTTTGATGCCTATTGTCTCTCAGCTCTAGGTTGTCCATATTTGAGAGTATTAGGTTAAAAAGGATGCGGTGAACGGAACAAGTTTGGAAACACAGGCAGAGGCGTCTCGAGGCTGGGGGTGCGGAACCGCACCGGGTGAAAAATATATAGTAGAAAATGCTTTTTGTCAATTTAATTAATGATTGATTAGAGTTAAAACGTCTTATTAAGTGAAAATCAAAGATTCCGATATGGGGGAGGGGGTGACACCTGGGCGTAAACCTGCCAATTATAGAGTCAACACTTTTACATACAGCTGTCTTACATACAGCTCTGATACTTTTTGTTAGGGGGGGGGGGGGGGTAACACCATTAGGTGTCGAAGCAGGTGACACCCGACTTAGCGACGCTACTTGGGAGAGTTGATGAGGCTATAACTAAATGAATACTCTGAAATTATGTTACTTTCGCAATAAATTTTTTTTTAAATCTAATGAGGCCTTGATTAATTTTATGCATTGTTATCGGGTTTGCTAGAAGTTTAAAATTTTGCTCACATTTTTAGTGTAATTACAGAGACTCATCCTTGACCTTGTTTTCAGGAAGGCGCGCCGAGCCGTGCTTTAGACATTGGATGTGCTGTAGGCAGATCAAGCTTTGAGCTGGCCCGTGGGGTGGACCAGGTGCTGGGCATTGACTACAGCCAGTCCTTCATTGACTGCGCCAACAGACTGAGGGACACAGGACAGGTGGACTACGAGTTGCTGGAGGAGGGAGATCTCTTCAGGCCAGCTCTGGCACAGGTCCCTCAAGATATTGTAGGTTCATTTCTTGCTTGTATCACCTTGTATCACCTCTATACCTTGTAGGTTCATTTCTTGCTTGTACCACCTCTATACCTTGTAGGTTCATTTCTTGTTTGTATCACCTCTATACCTTGTACGTTCATTTCTTGTTTGTATCACCTCTATACCTTGTAGGTTCATTTCTTGTTTGTATCACCTCTAGCCTCTATACCTTGTACATTCATTTATTGTTTGTATCACCTCTATACCTTGTAGGTTCATTTCTTGCTTGTATCACCTCTATACCTTGTAGGTTCATTTCTTGTTTGTATCACCTCTATACCTTGTAGGTTCATTTCTTGCTTGTATCACCTCTATACCTTGTAGGTTCATTTCTTGTTTGTATCACCTCTATACCTTGTACGTTCATTTCTTGTTTGTACCACCTCTATACCTTGTAGGTTCATTTCTTGTTTGTATCACCTCTATACCTTGTACGTTCATTTCTTGTTTGTATCACCTCTATACCTTGTAGGTTCATTTCTTGTTTGTATCACCTCTATACCTTGTACGTTCATTTCTTGTTTGTATCACCTCTATACCTTGTACGTTCATTTCTTGTTTGTATCACCTCTAGCCTCTATACCTTGTAGGTTCATTTCTTGCTTGTATCACCTCTATACCTTGTACGTTCGTTTCTTGTTTGTATCACCTCTATACCTTGTAGGTTCATTTCTTGTTTCTATCACCTCTATACCTTGTAGGTTCATTTCTTGTTTGCATCACCTCTATACCTTGTAGGTTCATTTCTTGTTTGTATCACCTCTATACCTTGTACGTTCATTTCTTGTTTGTATCACCTTGTATCACCTCTATACCTTGTAGGTTCATTTCTTGTTTGTATCACCTTGTATCACCTCTATACCTTGTAGGTTCATTACTTGTTTGTATCACCTCTATACCTTGTAGGTTCATTTCTTGTTTGTATCACCTCTAGCCTCTATACCTTGTAGGATCATTTCTTGTTTGTATCACCTCTATACCTTGTAGGTTCATTTCTTGTTTGTATCACCTCTATACCTTGTACGTTCATTTCTTGTTTGTATCACCTCTATACCTTGTACGTTCATTTCTTGTTTGTATCACCTCTATACCTTGTAGGTTCATTTCTTGTTTCTAGCACCTCTATACCTTGTAGGTTCATTTCTTGTTTGTATCACCTCTATACCTTGTAGGTTCATTTCTTGTTTGTATCACCTCTAGCCTCTATACCTTGTAGGTTCATTTCTTGTTTGTATCACCTCTATACCTTGAACATTCATTTCTTGTTTGTATCACCTCTATACCTTGTAGGTTCATTTCTTGTTTGTATCACCTCTATACCTTGTAGGTTCATTTCTTGTTTGTATCACCTCTAGCCTCTATACCTTGTACGTTCATTTCTTGTTTGTATCACCTCTATACCTTGTAGGTTCATTTCTTGTTTCTATCACCTCTATACCTTGTAGGTTCATTTCTTGTTTGCATCACCTCTATACCTTGTAGGTTCATTTCTTGTTTGTATCACCTCTATACCTTATACGTTCATTTCTTGTTTGTATCACCTTGTATCACCTCTATACCTTGTAGGTTCATTTCTTGTTTGTATCACCTTGTATCACCTCTATACCTTGTAGGTTCATTACTTGTTTGTATCACCTCTATACCTTGTAGGTTCATTTCTTGTTTGTATCACCTCTAGCCTCTATACCTTGTAGGATCATTTCTTGTTTGTATCACCTCTATACCTTGTAGGTTCATTTCTTGTTTGTATCACCTCTATACCTTGTACGTTCATTTCTTGTTTGTATCACCTCTATACCTTGTACGTTCATTTCTTGTTTGTATCACCTCTATACCTTGTAGGTTCATTTCTTGTTTCTAGCACCTCTATACCTTGTAGGTTCATTTCTTGTTTGTATCACCTCTATACCTTGTAGGTTCATTTCTTGTTTGTATCACCTCTAGCCTCTATACCTTGTAGGTTCATTTCTTGTTTGTATCACCTCTATACCTTGAACATTCATTTCTTGTTTGTATCACCTCTATACCTTGTACATTCATTTCTTGTTTGTATCACCTCTATACCTTGTAGGTTCATTTCTTGCTTGTATCACCTCTATACCTTGTATGTTCATTTCTTGATTGTATCACCTCTAGCCTCTATACCTAGTAGGTTCATTTCTTGTTTGTATCACCTCTATACCTTGTAGGTTCATTTCTTGTTTGTATCACCTCTATACCTTGTAGGTTCATTTCTTGCTTGTATCACCTCTATACCTTGTATGTTCATTTCTTGTTTGTATCACCTCTAGCCTCTATACCTTGTAGGTTCATTTCTTGTTTGTATCACCTCTATACCTTGTAAGTTCATTTCTTGTTTGTATCACCTCTATACCTTGTACATTCATTTCTTGTTTGTATCACCTCTATACCTTGAACATTCATTTCTTGTTTGTATCACTTCTATACCTTGTATGTTCATTTCTTGTTTGTATCACCTCTATACCTTGTACATTCATTTCTTGTTTGTATCACCTCTATACCTTGTAGGTTCATTTCTTGTTTGTATCACCTCTATACCTTGTACGTTCATTTCTTGTTTGTGTCACCTTGTATCACCTCTATACCTTGTACGTTCATTTCTTGTTTGTATCACCTCTATACCTTGTACGTTCATTTCTTGTTTGTGTCACCTTGTATCACCTCTATACCTTGTACGTTCATTTCTTGTTTGTATCACCTCTATACCTGACTGTTGCAGGAGCGTGTGCGTGTCACCTTTGAACAGGGTGATGCCTGCAAGTTGAGGCCTGACCTTGGTGCTTTTGACCTTGTCCTGGCAGCTAACCTGATCTGTCGTCTGCACCACCCGCGCCAGTTCCTGTCTCAGCTGACACGGCTCATGCCACGCCCCGGGGCGCTGCTCGTTATCACCGCCCCCTACACCTGGATGACAGAATTTACTGATAAGGTGGCTTGGATATGTGTCTTTGTGCATATCTATGTGTGTGAATGTTGATGTAAATCAGATTCCACACCTTACCATTCAGTAGAATGTCAATCAAGCGATTTACATAAAAAATATTTCCTCATGTTAGATTTTGGGTCAATTTCTAATCCCATGGGGGTAATGTCCTGTTTGAGTGTTGGGGCAGGGGGTAATGTCCTGTTCTAGTGTTGGGGCAGGGGGTAATGTCCTGTTCTAGTGTTGGGGCAGGGGGTAATGTCCTGTTCTAGTGTTGGGGCAGGGGGTAATGTCCTGTTCTAGTGTTGGGGCAGGGGGTAATGTCCTGTTCGAGTGTTGGGGCAGGGGGTAATGTCCTGTTCTAGTGTTGTGCTGTTGACTTGAATGTTCCCTTCAAACTTTCCCCTCACACGTTCCCCTCACATGTTCCCCTCACACTTTCCCCCCACACGCTCCCCTGAAACGTTCCCCTCACACATTCCCCTCACACGTTCCCCTCACACGTTCCCCCCACACGCTCCCCCCACACGTTCCCCCCACACATTCCCCTCATGCATTCCCCTCATGCATTCCCCTCACACGTTCCCCTCACACGTTCCACTCACACGTTCCACTCACGCGTTCCCCTCACGCATTCCCCTCACGCATTCCCCTCACACGTTCCCCTCACACGCTCCCCTCACACGTTCCACTCACGCGTTCCCCTCACGCGTTCCCCTCACGTGTTCCCCTCACACGTTCCCCTCACACGCTCCCCTCACACGTTCCCCTCACACGTTCCCCTCACACGCTCCCCTCACACGTTCCCCTCACACGTTCCCCTCACACGTTCCACTCACATTTTCCCCTCACACGTTCCCCTCACATGTTCCCCTCACACGTTCCCCTCACACGTTCCCCTCACATGTTCCCACAGAGTGAGTGGCTGGGCGGGCGTAGAGATGAAGCTGGAGATCCAGTGACAGGGTTTGATGGCCTGCAGAAAGAGTTGAGCTTAGACTTTGAGCTGCTCCAGAGCTTAGACATGCCCTTCATCATCCGTGAGACTAGGAGGAAGAACCAGTGGACAGTAGCTCATGCAACAGTCTGGAGGCGAAGATAGCCATCTGTGACTAGCCAGAAATATCTGACTAGTGTCGTAATTGTTGATTGTTGAAAAACTGACTAGTGTCATAATTGTTGATTGTTGAAAAACTGACTAGTGTCGTAATTGTTGATTGTTGAAAAACTGACTAGTGTCGTAATTGTTGATTGTTGAAAAACTGACTAGTGTCATAATTGTTGATTGTTGAAAAACTGACTAGTGTCGTAATTGTTGATTGTTGAAAAACTGACTAGTGTCGTAATTGTTGATTGTTGAAAAACTGACTAGTGTCATAATTTTTGATTGTTGAAAAACTGACTAGTGTCGTAATTGTTGATTGTTGAAAAACTGACTAGTGTCGTAATTTTTGATTGTTGAAAAACTGACTAGTGTCGTAATTGTTGATTGTTGAAAAACTGACTAGTGTCGTAATTTTTGATTGTTGAAAAACCGACTAGTGTCGTAATTGTTGATTGTTGAAAAACTGACTAGTGTCGTAATTGTTGATTGTTGAAAAACTGACTAGTGTCATAATTTTTGATTGTTGAAAAACTGACTAGTGTCGTAATTGTTGATTGTTGAAAAACTGACTAGTGTCATAATTTTTGATTGTTGAAAAACTGACTAGTGTCGTAATTGTTGATTGTTGAAAAACCGACTAGTGTCGTAATTGTTGATTGTTGAAAAACCGACTAGTGTCGTAATTGTTGATTGTTGAAAAACCGACTAGTGTCGTAATTGTTGATTGTTGAAAAACTGACTAGTGTCGTAATTGTTGATTGTTGAAAAACTGACTAGTGTCGTAATTTTTGATTGTTGAAAAACTGACTAGTGTCGTAATTGTTGATTGTTGAAAAACTGACTAGTGTCGTAATTTTTGATTGTTGAAAAACCGACTAGTGTCGTAATTGTTGATTGTTGAAAAACTGACTAGTGTCGTAATTGTTGATTGTTGAAAAACTGACTAGTGTCATAATTTTTGATTGTTGAAAAACTGACTAGTGTCATAATTTTTGATTGTTGAAAAACTGACTAGTGTCGTAATTGTTGATTGTTGAAAAACCGACTAGTGTCGTAATTGTTGATTGTTGAAAAACCGACTAGTGTCGTAATTGTTGATTGTTGAAAAACCGACTAGTGTCGTAATTGTTGATTGTTGAAAAACCGACTAGTGTCGTAATTGTTGATTGTTGAAAAACCGACTAGTGTCGTAATTTTTGATTGTTGAAAAACTGACTAGTGTCATAATTGTTGATTGTTGAAAAACTGATTAGTGTCATAATTGTCGTGTATTTAGTGTGTGTGTCTCTTGCAGTGGCCTTGGCTAGCAAGGGACTTTATTAAAAAGAATAATATGATGTGCTAAAAGAAAATAAATATAGAGTGATCTCGCCTAAACTTTCATGTATATTATTTTTTTTGCTTTCTTAAATTTCATTTTTGCATTGTGATATACAAGTATAGAGGAGGTTTTCTAATTGTGATATACAAGTATAGAGGAGGTTTTCTAATTGTGATATACAAGTATAGAGGAGGTTTTCTAATTGTGATATACAAGTATAGAGGTTTTCTAATTGTGATATACAAGTATAGAGGTTTTCTAATTGTGATATACAAGTATAGAGGAGGTTTTCTAATTGTGATATACAAGTATAGAGGAGGTTTTCTAATTGTGATATACAAGTATAGAGGAGGTTTTCTAATTGTGATATACAAGTATAGAGGAGGTTTTCTAATTGTGATATACAAGTATAGAGGTTTTCTAATTGTGATATACAAGTATAGAGGTTTTCTAATTGTGATATACAAGTATAGAGGAGGTTTTCTAATTGTGATATACAAGTATAGAGGAGGTTTTCTAATTGTGATATACAAGTATAGAGGAGGTTTTCTAATTGTGATATACAAGTATAGAGGTTTTCTAATTGTGATATACAAGTATAGAGGTTTTCTAATTGTGATATACAAGTATAGAGGTTTTCTAATTGTGATATACAAGTATAGAGGAGGTTTTCTAATTGTGATATACAAGTATAGAGGAGGTTTTCTAATTGTGATATACAAGTATAGAGGAGGTTTTCTAATTGTGATATACAAGTATAGAGGTTTTCTAATTGTGATATACAAGTATAGAGGTTTTCTAATTGTGATATACAAGTATAGAGGAGGTTTTCTAATTGTGATATACAAGTATAGAGGAGGTTTTCTAATTGTGATATACAAGTATAGAGGAGGTTTTCTAATTGTGATATACAAGTATAGAGGAGGTTTTCTAATTTTGATATACAAGTATAGAGGTTTTCTAATTGTGATATACAAGTATAGAGGAAGTTTTCTAATTGTGATATACAAGTATAGAGGTTTTCTAATTGTGATATACAAGTATAGAGGAGGTTTTCTAATTGTGATATACAAGTATAGAGGAGGTTTTATAATTGTGATATACAAGTATAGAGGAGGTTTTCTAATTGTGATATACAAGTATAGAGGAGGTTTTCTAATTGTGATATACAAGTATAGAGGTTTTCTAATTGTGATATACAAGTATAGAGGAGGTTTTCTAATTGTGATATACAAGTATAGAGGTTTTCTAATTGTGATATGCAAGTATAGAGGAGGTTTTCTAATTGTGATATACAAGTATAGAGGAGGTTTTCTAATTGTGATATACAAGTATAGAGGAGGTTTTCTAATTGTGATATACAAGTATAGAGGAGGTTTTCTAATTGTGATATACAAGTATAGAGGTTTTCTAATTGTGATATACAAGTATAGAGGAGGTTTTCTAATTGTGATATACAAGTATAGAGGTTTTCTAATTGTGATATGCAAGTATAGAGGAGGTTTTCTAATTGTGATAAAGTATAGAGGTTTTCTAATTGTGATATACAAGTATAGAGGAGGTTTTCTAATTGTGATATACAAGTATAGAGGTTTTCTAATTGTGATATACAAGTATAGAGGAGGTTTTCTAATTGTGATATACAAGTATAGAGGAGGTTTTCTAATTGTGATATACAAGTATAGAGGAGGTTTTCTAATTGTGATATACAAGTATAGAGGAGGTTTTCTAATTGTGATATACAAGTATAGAGGTTTTCTAATTTTGATATACAAGTATAGAGGAGGTTTTCTAATTGTGCAAAAATTTGGAATAGAGATATGTCAGTCTATCTGTGGTAACTTAAGTACCGTTATGTTGAAGAAATTTCAGATTTAAATAGAAGTGTTATATCAAAACATGTGAACATATCATATGCAATATCATATAGCAGTTTGTCATACTATGGGCTACTGATTTTAAAACTAATGTGAAATTATGTGACCCCACTACCTTGTCTAGGGAGGTGGGGGGATACCGGCATTTTTACTAGCGGTCAAGGCCATTACTAGCTTTAAATAGGACATGAATGTTAATTGCAATCATTCATCTTACACCACAATCATTTATCTTACTTCACTCACAATCATTCATCTTACAAAGCACAATCGAGAAAATAATTTTGACATTGAAAAGTTGCCATGTTAGCGTACGCGATATTTTTTCCCGTTCTGTGAGCTGGAAGACGAGGGGATGTCTAGTAGAGTTGTCCATGGGGGACTACTAACAAAAAGTTTTTAGGTGCTAATGTAGAGTTGTCCATGGTGGACTACTAACAAACAGTTTTTAGGTGCTAATGTAGAGTTGTCCATGGTGGACTACTAACAAAAAGTTTTTAGGTGCTAATGTAGAGTTGTCCATGGTGGACTACTAACAAAAAGTTTTTAGGTGCTAATGTAGAGTTGTCCATGGTGGACTACTAACAAACAGTTTTTAGGTGCTAATGTAGAGTTGTCCATGGTGGACTACTAACAGTTTTTAGGTGCTAATGTAGAGTTGTCCATGATGGACTACTAACAGTTTTTAGGTGCTAATGTAGAGTTGTCCATGGTGGACTACTAACAAACAGTTTTTAGGTGCTAATGTAGAGTTGTCCATGGTGGACTACTAACAAAAAGTTTTTAGGTGCTAATGTAGAGTTGTCCATGGTGGACTACTAACAAAAAGTTTTTAGGTGCTAATGTAGAGTTGTCCATGGTGGACTACTAACAAACAGTTTTTAGGTGCTAATGTAGAGTTGTCCATGGTGGACTACTAACAGTTTTTAGGTGCTAATGTAGAGTTGTCCATGATGGACTACTAACAGTTTTTAGGTGCTAATGTAGAGTTGTCCATGGTGGACTACTAACAAACAGTTTTTAGGTGCTAATGTAGAGTTGTCCATGGTGGACTACTAACAAAAAGTTTTTAGGTGCTAATGTAGAGTTGTCCATGGTGGACTACTAACAAACAGTTTTTAGGTGCTAATGTAGAGTTGTCCATGGTGGACTACTAACAAAAAGTTTTTAGGTGCTAATGTAGAGTTGTCCATGGTGGACTACTAACAAAAAGTTTTCAGGTGCTAATGTAGAGTTGTCCATGGGGGACTACTAACAAAAAGTTTTTAGGTGCTAATGTAGAGTTGTCCATGGTGGACTACTAACAAAAAGTTTTCAGGTGCTAATGTAGAGTTGTCCATGGGGGACTACTAACAAAAAGTTTTTAGGTGCTAATGTAGAGTTGTCCATGGTGGACTACTAACAAAAAGTTTTTAGGTGCTAATGTAGAGTTGTCCATGGTGGACTACTAACAAAAAGTTTTTAGGTGCTAATGTAGAGTTGTCCATGGTGGACTACTAACAAACAGTTTTTAGGTGCTAATGTAGAGTTGTCCATGGTGGACTACTAACAGTTTTTAGGTGCTAATGTAGAGTTGTCCATGATGGACTACTAACAGTTTTTAGGTGCTAATGTAGAGTTGTCCATGGTGGACTACTAACAAACAGTTTTTAGGTGCTAATGTAGAGTTGTCCATGGTGGACTACTAACAAAAAGTTTTTAGGTGCTAATGTAGAGTTGTCCATGGTGGACTACTAACAAACAGTTTTTAGGTGCTAATGTAGAGTTGTCCATGGTGGACTACTAACAAAAAGTTTTTAGGTGCTAATGTAGAGTTGTCCATGGTGGACTACTAACAAAAAGTTTTCAGGTGCTAATGTAGAGTTGTCCATGGGGGACTACTAACAAAAAGTTTTTAGGTGCTAATGTAGAGTTGTCCATGGTGGACTACTAACAAAAAGTTTTCAGGTGCTAATGTAGAGTTGTCCATGGGGGACTACTAACAAAAAGTTTTTAGGTGCTAATGTAGAGTTGTCCATGGTGGACTACTAACAAAAAGTTTTTAGGTGCTAATGTAGAGTTGTCCATGGTGGACTACTAACAAAAAGTTTTTAGGTGCTAATGTAGAGTTGTCCATGGGGGACTACTAACAAAAAGTTTTTAGGTGCTAATGTAGAGTTGTCCATGGTGGACTACTAACAGTTTTTAGGTGCTAATGTAGAGTTGTCCATGGTGGACTACTAACAGTTTTTAGGTGCTAATGTAGAGTTTTCCATGGGGGACTACTAACAGTTTTTAGGTGCTAATGTAGAGTTGTCCATGGTGGACTACTAACAAACAGTTTTTAGGTGCTAATGTAGAGTTGTCCATGGTGGACTACTAACAAAAAGTTTTTAGGTGCTAATGTAGAGTTGTCCATGGGGGACTACTAACAAACAGTTTTTAGGTGCTAATGTAGAGTTGTCCATGGTGGACTACTAACAAAAAGTTTTTAGGTGCTAATGTAGAGTTGTCCATGGGGGACTACTAACAAAAAGTTTTTAGGTGCTAATGTAGAGTTGTCCATGGTGGACTACTAACAGTTTTTAGGTGCTAATGTAGAGTTGTCCATGGTGGACTACTAACAGTTTTTAGGTGCTAATGTAGAGTTGTCCATGGTGGACTACTAACAGTTTTTAGGTGCTAATGTAGAGTTGTCCATGGTGGACTACTAACAGTTTTTAGGTGCTAATGTAGAGTTGTCCATGGTGGACTACTAACAGTTTTTAGGTGCTAATGTAGAGTTGTCCATGGTGGACTACTAACAAACAGTTTTAGGTGCTAATGTAGAGTTGTCCATGGTGGACTACTAACAGTTTTTAGGTGCTAATGTAGAGTTGTCCATGATGGACTACTAACAGTTTTTAGGTGCTAATGTAGAGTTGTCCATGGGGGACTACTAACAAACAGTTTTTAGGTGCTAATGTAGAGTTGTCCATGGTGGACTACTAACAGTTTTTAGGTGCTAATGTAGAGTTGTCCATGGGGGACTACTAACAGTTTTTAGGTGCTAATGTAGAGTTGTCCATGGGGGACTACTAACAGTTTTTAGGTGCTAATGTAGAGTTGTCCGTGGTGGACTTATAACAAACAGTTTTAGGTGCTAATGTAGAGTTGTCCATGGTGGACTACTAACAAACAGTTTTTAGGTGCTAATGTAGAGT